CAGCAATCTCCACTCGATTTTGCTAGTGTATCGTAGGGAGAAGCTGGATAAGACGGGACGTCTTTTGTACCGAACTCCTCTGGATCATCACGAAGTAGTCGGTTTGTCCGTTCCAAGAAGCCAGCTGAAGTAAAGTACGGAAACCCCTTTTAGCAGCCCTTTGATTGTCCCCTTTCATCTTTCCGAAAATTGATAGTATTCAACTCAGATGCAATCATCAAAGAAAAACGAGAATTACGTATTCATGGTCATATCCAAGGTACTGATTCAGGTTGGACTACCACATTTTGTGGGGTTTGCAATGTTTATTAGTCCCTCTACAATTAGTTGATGTCAGTTTTTTCGAGAGAATATAAGCGTACTTTTTACCGTTACCCTGGGGTTGTATTGCGCAATTCACTTATCAAGTTGAAAGGTTGTATATAACTCGCTAAAGCTTCAATACAAGACACTACAATACAATACCACTTTAATATTAGATCAGAAAGACAGATACCAGCTGCGCGCTGTGTGTGCGTGAGTCAGAATACGCGAACACCGTTGGCAGCCATTGTAATGCCAAATTGTCACAAATAAGTTCGAATCATACACAAAACTGCACAGGTTATCAACAATAATTTTCCTAGTTCTTCATTTTCATCGTCGAAATAGTCCTACAGCGCACATTTCAAACAAAACAACAAAGTGGTGAACAAGCTCGTTTTCAGAGGTTCGTATTCATGCCAGTACATCTCAATATATATCACTACTTCTTTATTTTACACGTTGAATTGTTTTTGAAACGTATTCGTGTTTTGTCTTCAGGTTCATTTATTATACGGCTTTATTTTACAAGTGTACTAGTGTCTAGCTGAATATACGATTTTCTGGTTAATTTTCAGTGAACCTCCCTCTAGAAAAGCGAATCGAGGCACAAACCTTTTTGTCGGTCTCATGAAGCACAGGTGAGTCAACAGTAAAGTACAGTGCGATTGCTCCATCGTTTTCGATCGTCTCGTCCCTCTCACCC